ATCCAAAGCTCCCCTGAATAGACACAGGCCCAGTAAATCTTTTTATTTATTTTTTATTTTTTTTATTTTTTGCTTGCACTGTCTGCCACACAACACATAAAATTTCTGTCTGAAAATGGGCTCTTTGTGTGGTCAAGTGAATATGGCCTGAAGAATGAACCGCAGCACTGGGACTCTTTTCCTGTTTCTCCATTCTAAAAGCAGACTGGCCTTAAACAAAGACAGGCTCAGAATTGCCAAAACCAAGAGCAAACCACTGAAGAATTTTTAGTTTTGGTCAGGTATCAGTTATCTCTGAAAGTGGCTTATAAATCGATATTTTAAAATAAAGTAGCTAGATAATGATAAAAAGGTAGTTCAATGACTGTTATTAATAATTCTTTCATAACTATTATTAATAACAATTATTTCTCATTTGCTTTTTTCAACATTTCAACAAAATACATCCATCAAATCATTGCATCTTTCACCTCACCTTTCTGTCTTGCCCCCATCTCTTAATTTTCAGATTTATGTCTTTTATCTCCTCCTGTTTCAAACTCCACCGTGGGAAACATTTCACACTACAAAAGCAGCAGCCTTACGGGGTTGCCATTTTGTTGCCTTTTTCTGTGTTTTTGTTGGCCAGACTTGCTGTTTTTGGGAGTCAGGCAGAGACCAGACCAAGGGTCTTTTATCCCCCTCAGTGCAGTCCCTACGGCAGGGGAACGGCAGCTTGGCCCATCGATCACAGTGCACTGGGAGGGAGGACAAACTCCGTGGGTGGGATGGGAGAACATAACTGAGAGATGTAGGATATGGAAGTACAAGGTTTCAGATTAGCTTGAATGTTGTATAATATATGCGTGTGTATCGTGTGCGGATTCTGTGTTCAACACAGTGGGCAAGGCGAGGCAAGACAAAGGTGAGCCAATGAAGCGTGACAGAAGCAGAATAAGCAGATGTTTGCATGGATACAAGGTCAAGAGGGAGCTCATTTGTCTGACTGCAGAAATTTAAACGGATAACGTACACAGGCAGCATGCTCTTACAATCATTCAGACACATACGCTTCACATTCACACAACGCACACATTTACTTTGTTTGAACAAGACTCTTGGCTCCATTTAGTGCCTTCGGCAAAGACTCCCCAGTATGAGTTGTTGCACAAAAGAGTGAATCACATACATACACAAAGAGTTGAAGCATCGCGCCTCTTCAGACTACAGAGGTCTCTCAGCAGGGCTGGCAGAATGAACAGAGACCCCATGCAGGCCAAAGGATGAGCCAGAGGGATGGATAAACACAAACGCAATGGAAATGGCCCCACTGTAGGACCGCCTGTCCAGTAGTAGGGCCCAACCCGGAGGTGATATGGAGCCAAGCAGATGACCCAGCAGTGGGGGACCTCTGAGATCATTAAAGGCTTCAAGCGTAGCCATTTGATCAGAGTGGAAACCACTGAATGAAAACATTGGCTAGAGCAAGTTGCTGTGCTTTCTCCCCTCGTCTGGGAATTAATCTGCAGGTGGGTGGGAGCTATTTTCATTTTGGAAGTCAAGCTTCACTATTATTGGGTAAAAGTACAAACTCCACATCGGCTGCATGCAACTGTACTAATCCTGATCAGTTGTCAGGGACTTTGTCTCAAAAACTTGAAATACAAAACCCCTTTTGGCCATTTAACCAAGACAAATATTTTGTCGCACAGAAACCTAATCATGTGTTCAATAAAACATACATGCTCAAGTATGAGCGGTCAAAATTTTAAAGCATAGAAATAGGTAGTGCATATGAACATATATTGATAAACCAGCTTTAACTTTGCTTTCAAGTGTATTTCAAATCTCCTATCTCTATTTTGGGGGATTTTCTTAAGGGTTAAATATTCATCTTTGTGGAAATTGAGTTACCTTTGAAATGCCACTATCATTGTTCCAAGTCATTTCTTGTAAACCTATTTTCTAAAAAGCTAAATCCCATTTTTAAAGGAAAACAATCCATAGCCTCAATCCAATAATAACCTAACTAAAAACCAAATAAATAACAGAAAGCCGGCTGACATCTATGCAAGTGCCAGTGTGACCCGAGTTCAGTGTTTTTACACTCCAGATGCTGCAAACTATGACTGTTTTGCAAGGTTAAATCAACTAACCATTCTGTGTTTGGTGGCTATTTTACGATTGTTTTCCTCACGCATACCTGTTGCGTAAAGTCAACCACACGAATTGACCAGCAGCAGCTTGAAACTGTCTATGATTATTGATATTGATATCAGTGATAGCCAGGTGTGAATTCTCTCGGGAAAACTGTGAGAGGATAATTGGACGTTTTTACTGGCGACAGGCCTCGGCAGTGTAAAAAACAGATCAGTCACTCAGCGTGTTTCCACCACTGGATGTGATGACACGTGTAGTGCTATTAACTGAACATAAACGTGGTCTGGTCCCTACCTCGCCCCACCCCTGCTCAAATCAGAACCACCTGCCCAGGGCCCTGAGAACTGCCTGGTCCTCTCTGCGTAGCTCCTGTGAGAGAGAGCACCGCTTGTTTGGACAAACGTCAGGGCCAGCTCCGGGGGCTCTCACATGAAACGAAGAGCACAGAGAGGGAATCTCGCCCCTTGGTGTAGCCCTTTTCAACCCCAAGCCTCATCTCTCCCCTTTTGAGCTGGGCCCAATATTTTTTAATTACATCCAGGAAACTCCTGTTACAAAGGACACTTTCTTAGCGGGTCTGGTGGGAGGTTGTGTGGAGTTCTGGGGGTCACCCTTTACTTTTTTTTTTTTTTTTTTTTTTTGAGTATGTGTGGGTGGTAAGTGTATCAGCTAACAAACTCCGGAGTTTTCCACCTGGAGATCCAGGTCGACACTGAGAACTTTATTTCCCTAACCTAGAATGGCACCGGTTGTTGAAAGACACAGACAAAAATCAACTGCACAAAAATGCTTTAGCTGCTTCTCCACATTTCCCCTAGTCACACTATGTTTTAATACTTGTCAAAATTTATTGTATTATGGAGATTTATTGCCAAGATTTTTGTTCACTTCTAGGTTTTTTGCTGTGGTGGTTTCTAACTGACAGGAACACAAGCACTATTTGTTATCTTTTGGTCCAATAAGTCCATCTGGTTTTGATTTGGCTCCTTGCAATTGCCCCCAGAGATGTGGATGGAGGGGACTTACAGGCAAAGCAGAGTGGTGGAGGGGCAAATTTTTTTTTTTTTTTTTTTTTTTTCTCCTCTTAAATTGGATTTCTCACCATTCCAAAGTGGGCCTTGGACCTGGGGAAGGAGCAATAGCTGGCATTTAGCTTTGAACCCTTGGGCTTAAAAGAAAGAAACAAACAGGAGCAAAAGGAGAGGGAAAATTCCTCTGGATAAATCAGTATCACCTGTTTTGCTCCCCAATCAACATGTTCTGAGTCCGATTCCCTTTGCCATTATTTGTTTAAGCATGACTATGTGAACTCTCTCTGAACCATCCCGAACATGAAAGCTTTGGTTTCTGATGAATTAAATGATGTGTGAAACAGATGAATCCTGGACTAAACAAACAGTTACAGGTTGGAAATGTTTGTGGAGAGATTTAGAAATCTCTGCTCCCAGAGTTATATTAACATTTTGTCATAACTGTTTGTTTGTAGTACCCTAACACAACAGCAGGAGTCAGTAGATCATTATTCACAGAGGGAAAATAAACTTTGTTATGGTTTACAGTACATCGTTTAAGTAAATTCCTATAATCATCTGCAGTTGTTTTGAATGTGTTTGTAACAGATTCAAAATATCCAGTAATATTTTGCAAATTTTAGCTTTCATAGGATTTTTTTTATTTTTTTATTTTTATTTTACTAGTCATATAGAATACAAGTCAAAAAGTTATACTATCTGGGCCCCATGGCGGTGTATGGCAGCCTAGTTTCTGGTCAGATTGTCCCAGGGCAGCTGTAGCTACAGTCAAATAGTTGGCCACCATCGACATGTGAATGTGTGTGTGAATCACGGAATGTAGTGTGAAGTGTTTTGGCATCCTCTGGACTTGATAAAACACTGTACAAGTACAGGCCATTTATTATTTTTAAATGTCAGGTCAATTTTGAATTATGACAAATTGTCCAAATCTGTAATATAGATTAAGCTCATGACAAAAAAAAAAAGTATTTTGTCTGGCAATATTGTCTTCAAAAAATAAAAGAAGGAAAAGAAAACTGTTTAAAATGGTTTGTTTAATGGGATTGTGCACACTTTACAACTACATGCTGACTTTGTTAACACTCGGTGAAGACATCTTTAATTTACAAGCACATCGTGCTCTGACAATCATTAAAACATTCATCATCAAGGTAAACTAAAAGTACATAAATGTTCTCTGAATGAGTAATGGATTATTTTTAGATTGTGAGCCTTCACAGAAGGCATTTCCAATGTTTTGGGGGGGGTTTTCATACAGAAATCTACAAAAGCATGTGTGCAACCAAAAAGACTCCAGAGACAGGCTAGCCAGATAGTAAAGAACTGTTAAAAAAAAAAAAAAAAAAGACTGTTTGGGTCACATTTAGACAAAAGTGGGCAAAACACAAAGCTAGTCATGCAATAAAAACTAAACTAATAAATTAAGGTGGTAAGACATAAACTGTGTTGCTGAAGTACATTTTCTAAAGTTACATGTTGGTTCAGAAATCAAACATGGAAAACATGAGGAGACTTGACCATACAATCTGTCCACCAAACGAGATTGGCGAATTATCGTCGTTTAAATAAATAACATTATAAAGTGCAGGTACTACATATTCTGACAGCGGACGTACAAATATCAACATCACCACAATCAGTACATTTTTTAATTAAAGGGCCACATTCATATCTACAGACTAAAAGGAATATTTATGATTTAGGTAAGTTTACAGTTATTATTTTACACACACAGCACACTACACATTAAGGTTTGTAAAAAGAAAGCCTCAAAGTAAAATGTATCTTTTAATGCTATAACATAGTCTCACAGTAAACTATTTGAGCTTTGTCATGTCCTGATTTATGAAGATCAACAAACATTGGCTTTACTTAAATGGAATGCTCACTTGTCTTGTCTATTTTGAATAGTGGCTCAAAAAAAAGCGCCTCTTTGTTGCATATGTTGTTTGGGAAAGATGAAGTCAGGGATTACTTATTTAAAATGTCCCTCAAGTCCTCCATCACTTGATTGGAAAAGGGTAGGCATTTTGAGAAATACTTTAGTTACCTCTTTGAATTGTTGAAAATATTAATGAATATTGCATTACTGGTTGTGATTAAATCCTTTTTTTTATGTATTTTTTCCCCATTGAACAATTATTACATTCATAAAAAAGGCTAGACTTTTCTAAAAGGTTTAATCCCTCACTTTGTCACATCACATCCAGACCACAGGAGACGTTTTGGATTACTATTTAAAGACTCCTCTAAACTGTGATCAACCTAAAAAATATATCAATGTATAAATATAAATATACTCAAGTGTAAGTTGTACAATAACAATTTGGTTATATCTACAAAATTAACGTACTTTGATTACATGTCAGATTTTCTTAATATTTGTCATGTGAAATTATGCTACAGCAACAAAAGATGTACTTTTCTTACATAGTTTTTAGGGTTGCTAAGTTGACAAAGGAGTTAAAAATAAACGTATACTGTTATGCAATAATATCAGTAGACCTTTTCTTAGCATGTCTAAGTCTTTTGCAAAAAAAAAAAAAGAAAGCCACACAAAACATTTTTGCCACATTTTAGCTAGATATAAACCAAAAGAAGTAATATTTGAAAGTGAAGCCTCAAGCCAGTCATGCACTTCTAATAAAAGCAAAGATGGCACACAAATCAGCCTCAAGTATATAATATATAATGATTCATTAGATACTTATAGCACCATTTTTTAGATACTAAAATACGGACAGAAATTAGTAAAATTCATAAAGTACATCCCTATGGCAGATCCCTGACAACGTTTTAGAAATGAATAAACATTACGAACTTTAGAAAAGTTGCATGACAGGAGTGTTTCCACAAATATCTATTTGAATAAACAAAAAAGGATAATGTGTGGCTTTACAAACTAGCAAAGTGAATAAACTAAACCAGGTGAGAGTACATTTCACATTCTTAGAGCATACGGGATTACACGTAACCAGAAAATCAATCCACATCTCAGGTGCTTCAGTTGGATTTCGAGGAGTCTAGAAGATTTCACTGACAAAAAGGGTTGGTCCAAGTTGCCACATCAGGAGCCATCTCGTTCCTGTCCAGATCTAAAACGAACCATTGAGAAGGTCAGTTTCCAGAGGTCTAGAAATGTCAGAGTAAAATTTAAGAAATGCTTCCCCCTTGTGGATAGATGGATGGATGGATGGATGGATGGATGGATGGATTACTTTCAACATTACCTTATATACCAATCAGGGGCACGCATGATGATCTGCGTGATCTGCACATATTTTTCTGTCAAAAAAAAAATCAGAAAATTGTGTAAAAAATATTTTATAAATATTAAGCTGCATTAAAGTACAGTACAAACACTTCTTATAGAATTGGCTTTTTGTCTATATGCATTCCACATTTTTAAATACCATTTAATATTTATTCTTTTTTTACTATTCCATATGTAAGATAATAATAAAAGTAATCTAATGTTGACGTAATCACCCGACTCTCTCCATCTTAAAAATACATGTAAAGTTAAATCACAAGTCTTCCACGACATTTGGAAGAATTAAAGATAATTCATAATCCACAGTTGTTTTTCAGTCATATTTCTCTACCTTTGTATAGAGACGATGATGAAGAACAGAGTCGGATAACCATGGATGCCTTAATGCCTCGCAGGCCCCCATCCTCCAGCTAACGACAAACGTAAGACAAAAATACTTTTCACATTTTAAATTCTCACCAGAGATGACAAATTCCAGATCATACAGAGACACAATGCACTTACGTTTTATTCATTACAAGGAGCCTCGTGATAAAGTCTTTTGCTTCCACTGAAGTATCTGCAAACTCCTGTTCCTCAAAGTTCCACTGACAAGCCAAGATGTTGTTTAAAGTCTGATTGTCATCATCGCCAAGGAAGGGACACAAACCGCTCAGGCTAGCATTTAAAGGGAAGGAAGATTTAGCAGTGATTTGAGCACAGCTGAGCATGAATTTGCATCTCTACTTACAGCATGTAAGTTATGACACCAAGGCTCCACATGTCTGTGTTGAACGACACAAAGTCGTAGTTGACGACCTCAGGAGCTAGAAACTCTGGAGTTCCAAAATTCACCTTTAATTTCTCCCGTGGTTTATATCTGAAACAGGACATGGTCGTTTTTCAACCCAGGGACATTTTGCATTTTCAAAATACCAACAAAACATTTAGTAAATCAGAAATAGAAACTTACATCCTAGCGAGGCCAAAATCAATTATCTTAATCTTGTTGGTCACTCTGCTCACGCACAAAATGTTTTCTGGCTTGAAAGGTGAGAAAAAAAAAATTAAATTACTTCCAGTGAATAATATTAAGCTAAAGACCTTTTTCTACTGGTTATTAATTTTAGCTAGACCAACAAACAGCAATCGTAAAAGAAACATTTCTTACCCCATTTATACAACATATAATTTGTGTAGAGCAGCAAAAAAAAAAATATTTGACAAATATCTACAAAGTAAAATGTTTTATTTTGAAATCTAAGAAATTTAATTTAGATGTGTTTATACTTTCAGATTTCAGAACAAAATTAATCAACAAAATTTTGAAAGGAATAAAATCTTAGCATTTTGTAGAATGAGCTGAGAGAGCCTTTTGCTGTATACAAAATTATTATTTACATAGATTAAAGTTAAGAAACATTAAATTATTATTCAAAGCTTCGTATAGTAAAGTACCTTTGTAGATATTCTATGGAATTGCTGCATAAAACCAACAGAGCCACTTAATCCACCCTTTCTTATTGCCTTTACGATTAAAGATATTTCTTATTTGGGTTTGTAAATGCTACAGAGTGGGGGCCAAAAAGCCATATCTGACTCTGGAGTCACAGGTTGAAGAGTTATGAACTAGACATTTGATTTTAAATATCTTCTTAATTAAAGTAAATAAATGATGTGCATATTTTATAAAATCAAACGTAGTCACCCAGTGTATATTTGCCAAAAAAAAAAACTTGATAACATTGATAGTGCAGTGCAATCTGTACTATTATACGGTAGCAGAACTTTTCCATAACAACATCTGTTTCTCACAGTTTGTGCAGAGATCCCTCACCTATATTGTTTGTGTTTATCTTTGTTACCTTTAAATCTAGGTGCAGTATCGACATTTTGTGCATATGCTGAAGGCCCTCGCAGATCTGTCGGATGAACACCACAGCATCCAACTCCATCAAAGTGTAGTTTTCATCAATAATCCTGTCAAAGAGTTCCCCTCCACCAACACTGATGATAAAAACAAATGTAAAAACAAATTACATATGCAACAAAAAGTGTAGGCGTTTCACTTTAAAAAAAAACAACAATGCAACCTATAGTAAGTTAAATTAATAATTATATCAAGAATTTAAATATTGAGTTAGTATGTACTCTTAATTTATACACATTACATACACATACTGTAAATCTAAAAAAATAAAAAAAAAAGGGTCATACTATTCAAGTACAAGGATGATGTCATTCCTTGACTCATAAGCTGCATAGAGCTGGATCAGGTTGGCATGGTCCAGATTATTCATGACCTGGATCTCATTCTTCACCATGTCCTACCAAAAACACAGGCACAGAAAGATGCAGAGGCAAACAGGAAGATGCACAGATGCAGGACACAAACAGATACACACACATAAAATGAGAGGTGTCAGCTGTTCTCTGCGATCGGAGACTATGCATCTTCTGGTCTGGGTCAGTTATTTTCTCTCTGCGGTGAGAAGTATTCCCTTTGCCTCTGTTCCAGGAGAGGCCTAACAACATTCTAGTAAGTACTAAAAACTGTAACGGCCCCCGGGTTTTTTTTATACCACACGTGGCTTAGTTCTCAAGGTAGGAGTTAAAATAGACTTGCTCAGCGTCATGCAACGTATCTCCGGTGTCGTACCTTTTCTTTCTGGCTTCGAGCTTTAATGACCTTCGCTGCCAAAGTGAGACCTGAGGAGTTTTCAACACATTTGTGCACCTGACCGAACCGGCCCCTGTAGGAAGAGAGGCAGAAAGAACAATTGGCTTCCTGTTTGCTGCACAGACAGCCAAGTTGTTCTAGCCTTGCAAATTATGCATTGCAGCAGTAAAGAATCACTTAATAATGGGACAGTGACAGTGGAGAGCATCTTTCCCAAGAGAAATCAGGAATTGATCTTTCCTTCTGGAAAGTGTTGCGGTTAATCTGCAATTTTATTAAATCTGAGCCAGGCTGCGTCTCTTCTTTGAAGGTCCGGATTAACACCTAGTGATTAGCTACCAGCTGGCGCTGTGGATCCAGTATCACATACCAGTCAGTCTTCGTGTAAAAATAACTGCCATGACTCTGGAGTTATGAACCATTGAGGAGAGGAAGAGAAAGGGGGGAGGGAGGGGAGGACAATTACACAATCGGCCCTAAATCTGGAATCAAGAACATCTTTTCATGGTTTTTGTTCAGCAGGCATGATTTTTACCTATTTATTTTTGGTAAGTAGAAAAGAGGAGCAGCACACTCACCCGCCTAGGACCTCTTGCCAGTTGATTGTGTAAAAGTTTCTGATCTGGTTTGGCTTAGCAGACACAATGCGATGATTAAAAGGAGCTGCCGGAGGAGGAGTGGTGTCTAAAAACGGCCGGGGAGACAAGCAAAAAGATGTCATTTGTTTTTAGAAGTTACAAATAAGGTGTAACATACATGTCTCACTGATAATCAGCTGCTGTTGACTTTTTAAAGTATGCATGCAACCATTGTTGCACTGGCATATCATTTACAAATGTTTTGTAATAAATAACTACAGATAGAGTTGTTGTCTGTGTATTGTTTACGAAAGCAGCCAGCTTGAATTCAAGTCTCAGGTTCAAGACTAAGCTCTTCTCTGAACTTCCATTTGTTGAACTGTAGAATCCAGATCAAGTGTGCTGGGATTCTCAGTAAAGAATCATTATTGCATTAGTACATCCTAAATTTTAACCCAAAAAGTATATAATCAGATTGAAAAGATAAACATTACAGGTTACTGGATAAAAGAAGAAGAAAAAATACATAATCTACTGTATTCAGATAGATGCATAGCAAATCCCAGACACTTACCACTGTATTATTTACTTCCAGAAACTTTAGAGATGCATGCCTAAATGTGTCTTTGGAAGTTTTGCTTTCCTCTTTTTTAGGTTATGATTTATTATTATTCTGTTCATGTTGAAAAAGCTATTAACCATTATAAAAGTTTATTTTAAGATATCATTTTACATTTATTCCAGAGGATAAAAATGATTTGCAGAAAATAATGCTCCTGATCATTTTTGTTTCTTTCTATTATTTTTATTTGATCCAAGATTCACATCTTTGTCATGTTGATTTGCTGTCAGTTTTCAACTAAGGACCACCTAACTCTCTTGATCACTTGTGTAACCCTGAAGTGGTTGATTCAATTTTACTTAAATCTTGTTCATTGACATATTTAATATTTTTGAAATCAAATAATTGTGACACATTCTCCCTTGCTTTAGTCTTGTTTCCACTTCCTCAGAGCTCAGTTTTACATTTCAAGTAGACTTCTACACCAAGCAAAATAAATAAAGAGCAATGTCTTTCATTTATTGAAGCTTTACAGACGAAAAATGTTCTAACTTTCAGGATAATGAAGAGAAAGTTCTAGTCATCAGAGGGACGTGACTCACCGATGAAGAACCGCTCACTTTGATCGTCATCGATCGTTTTCTCGTCAGCATTCTCCAGTTTTCCCTTCTCCAACTTTTCTTTAAGGTTGAACTGGATTTGAATTCCATCTGCCTTGAAGCAAGCCCAGTCTCCATGCTCACAGCTCTCATCATCATCCTCCTCTTTCTGCTGCTCTTCTCTTTCCTCATTCTTGTCTTGTTTTGTCTCAGTGACCTGGTCCTGCTCAGTCTCTGTGCACGGTGTTGCATCCTTGTGGTCGTCGCTGTAAATTGAAGTTGATGGGTTTTATAGATTTGTTTTGTTCTGTCATATTATTGTAGCTTTAGACAATAAAAATTTAATGCAGATGTATCAAACAAGCAAAAAAAAAAAAAAAAGAAAATAACCAAGCATGGCCTCTGAAGCATGAATTTGAAAGAATAATGAAAATTGATATCTATGGCAGGTTAAGGTTAATTGCAAACAAAACCAGAGCAGCAAGGAAAACATCTGTTTTAATTATTGATTTATATTTGTATTCAGCTATTTTGTTTGAGAAAAAAAAATAGTTTTCTCAAACTATTTTGAAAGGAAGTGGTCATACTTTGATCCTCGGTGCTACTCAACTTCACCAAAAATGTGAAAGATAATTATTCAGTGGTAATTTGTGTAGGAAGTTTACCGAAACCTAAGACCCTGTGCAGAAATGTAGATTGACTTATTGCCACAAGAGTAGTTATAGGTAAATATAATCACACCTGGTAACAATCTCCTCTTTTTCATCTACATCGGAAGAGGGCATCTTGGAGTCTTCTATTTGTTCTTCAGAAGCAGAAATATTTTCTTTCTGTTGTTCCTCGGGAACTTTGGGCTTTTCTTCTTCTGCTGCTTTCTTTTGCACTACATCATCCACTGGCACTGCTTTTACCTTAGTTTCCTCTTCCTCTATTTGCTCCTCAATAACACCTGCAGCCTCACGTTCCTCAGCCACAGCAGGTTGGGAATCTTCATGCACATAGTCCACCAGGTTGCAAGTGGGGGCCTCTGGTTGCTCGTCTTTAGGGGTCACCCCAGACTCCAGATCCAGCTGCAGAAACAGCTGACCTGTTTTTTCTGTGTTCTCTCTGTTTAGTTTCTGCACTTCTTCAAGAAGCAAAGCCTGCTTCTTTGGCGAAATATTATCTACAAAAATACAAAAACACAGAATCTGAATTAAGTCTCTCACTCACCGTATATAATTTATAGCTCTTCCACATATAAGGAAGTCAGAAATAGGACCTCATTGATTTTGAGATTGGTTTCCGAGCGAGGATTTGACTGCTGCGAGAATTAAGCTATTATATTCTATTTTTTTAAGTACCTGCTGCATCTGGAGGTTTCATCTTCTTTTGAGCTTTCAGGCTCTTCTGGCCCAAACATGGTTTTTCTCCCCCATCTTTGCTCTTGTGGTCTTTCCCCTGTGAAATGAAAAAAAAGAAAAAGAAGAAGAAGAAAATAGTAGATCCTGTAGCCAGGTCAATATCTGTACTGCATCAATGTTGATGTTTGCAACTATATTATTTCTCTTTGCTTGTCAGACGTATTTCTGTTCCAAAACAAAAATTCAGAAATCTGCCCTAAAACGTTTTTCTCACTTTTAAAAAATATACTTTTTTGAAGAAATTATTTTTTTAAAACATCAAACTAATAATATCCAGATAAAGTGGTGATGAGCCTCATAATATTAAGAACGAGACATCACCCTTTATGTAGTCATAAATGCAAAAGCATATAGAGTCAAGCAATAAAAAGATAAAGAACTTCTAGTATATGTACAGTTTGTAAGCACAAAAAACCTACAAAGCTTCCACATTTACGTGATGCGAGGAAATGCTTTGGTCCATGGAGCTTTATCTTGTAATGGGGCTGCAGAGAACTTGGCTGACATGCAGGAGTTATCGCTTGTTTCCATTTACTGCCTTTGCTAGAGGTAGTTTTCTAGTAAAAAGACAAGATGGAAATGCTTGGTAGGGTTTTAGCAGTGTACACAGAAGGGGTGCATTTATTTTATTTTTTATGTTGTTGCAAACAGAACAGGCATTTAACTGAAGCAGCAGTGCTGTAAAGAAGTATTTGAACTCACAGATTTCCTTAGTTTTTTTTTTTATATATCTCAATTAAATGTTTCAGATCATTACGTTTTTTTTTTTTTATATATCTGACAAAAATAGCCCGAGAAACCTAGAATAAAGAAATCACTTAATTAGAATCCAGCTCACAACATAACATAATATTCTCAAAAAGTCCCAATCGAAATATAGCCACAAAGTCATCCGCAAGACTTTGGTACTCCAGCAAACCAAAGTGAAACTCTCTCAGGACCACTCGTCCAGGCGGTCACAAGAAACCTACAGCAACATCTAAAGCAGTGCATTGCTCACCTACCTCAGTTAATGGCCAAACAATAAGGAAGATCCTGGGCACAAATATTCTGCACAGGAGAGCTTTTATTTGCTAATACAAAAGTATTTCTGTTATCCCTGAAACATTTGGGAAAATATTCTGTGGACTGATGAGACAAAAGTGGAACTTTTTGGAAGATATGTGTCTTGCTATATGCCTCCCTTCAGTTGTAAGTGCATATGACAATGGTATAGTTTGGTTATCTGTAGGCGTTACACAACCAGTGTGTTGATTGGGGAACATAAAAATGTCACAGACTGCGACAAGCAAGTGATACACTATTATGGAGTCATATAATGGTAGAGTTATAGACTTAGGGTTTAACCCTGCCTGCCCAGTAAGAGTCCAACCAGGCTGTGGCTTTAACCGGTTCTTCCCCAATTAACAGATTCATCTCTGTTTGCAGATCCAGTGCAGTTCCTCCGCATTTTTTTGGAAACCACCTCTGGGCTGGTACAAGCTGGGCATTATGAGCAACTCATTTGATTGTCAGCAGACTCTTTGGTACGTCACTGGGTGAAAACTCCTCGATCATAAACCTCTCAACCACCATTTTCAATCTGCAACAAGACCGTCGTAGTTGGCAAGATGGTGAGTCACAAATCAAAAAGAGAGAATCTTATCAGAGAATGGCCAAAAGGCGCTTGCCTGGGAAAAAGTCAGCCTGATGAAAACCAGCCTCTTGTCTTACACTGGGCTATCAGCTATGGAGAAACGATTGCTTCCTGGAGGTGTGGAGTGTGTTGAGGTTTTCAATTCTACCCAATTGCTAAAGTCTGCCCGTGACTTATGTAACACGTCAGTCTGACGTTAAGAAGCTTATCAGAAATTCCCTGCATTGTAACCAACCGTTCTCCACTGCAGGGAGAGAAGTGCTGATCCCAGCGAAGTGGCTCTTAAAGTCATTTCTATATTTGGAAGCATGGCCAAGACGGATTGAATAGCTTCATTCACTTCCTCCACTGCCATTGCTAAAACTACAGATAGATTGCAATTATAAAGCAGTGCAGAAAATCTGCATCGTTGTTCACAACTACTCCTTCTGTTGGCTGATTGGCCCAGTAAAAAAATCTGTTGGAGACAATCAGAGTCACGCGGAGAAAGCTCAGACTGTGCAAGAATTGTTTTCGAGCAGAATTGCCCAGGAAGGCAATGGCCTGGCTAGTTACATGCACAAACTGACATTATTAGAGCATCATCATCAGTGATTACAACTCCTTTTCTCATAACCTAAGTTACCACATTCAGCCCCACAGAAGGGGCTATAGCATACCAATCTTCACCGAGCCACGCCCTTCTGCTCAGTGGAAGTAAGATGTAAGTTAATACTTGAATCCAAGTGAGGTACTGTCTCAAAAAAATACAGCAATATGCATGAAAGCAGAACGAAATCTGTAGCATACTTTTTCACAGCACTGACCAAAAGTAACATACAATTAACTGTATAGGTAAATAACAAAAAACTTAATATGAAAGTTGACATCAAGGGCTGACGTTCACAAAACCATAAAGTCACACTTTCAATAAACAACATATGACAAATTGCAAAAACCTAACTGCCTTGCGGCCACAGTTACTGGACATCAGCATGCACATACTGGCTTATATAATGGCATGCCTCTGCTTATTCATGGCTGATAGATAGGTAGCAGCAGGACAGTGAATTTATAGCTTATCACTTGTCGCACTCAACAGTGGAATGTGATGCTGACCCTGTGTGGAAAATATTACAAGCGATTGCAGGTTGTTCTCCAAATCTCCCAGCTGAATCGATGACACTAAACACTCTGATATCAGGTTGAGATGGAAAAAAAAACTCATCTTGAACTTGAGGTGTCCCACATATGTTTTTCAACGTTCACGTTAACTGAGAGGGGATATGTTGCAAGTGTTAGGGTTCACCTAGAGACAGTTGTGGGGTAAAGAAATGTAATTGGAAAACAAGGGAGTGCATTTCGAGACCAAAGTAACATGAAATAAATGTTAAATATTTCACACCTCTGGAGGTGGGATAGGATGAAGCCCCCACCTGACAACCACTCTGACGACAACGGAAATTTGTTGAAACACGAGCCACAAATGATTCAGATTACTTGGCGGTCATAAATGTTCAGCAAAAGAAACACTGGGGAGATTTTATTTTATTTATTTTTTACTTCTACAACATACGGTAACCCTTCTTTCTGCCAATGTGGTCAGTTTTTGCTTTGCTCATCCGTCTAACTTAAAAGAAAACCACAACCGCTATGTAAGTGATAGCAGCGTGCACGTCTGAGTGCCGGCTGCTGCCAGATAGCACTTAGTGACCCTTTAACAGAGTCATCACAGTCTGCTTAATTACAGATATATAAAGACGGAAAGCCCAGGTCAGCTCTGGATGTGACTTCGGTGCAATGGGAAAGTGTTTTTGAGTGAAAGATGATTTTTTTTTTAAATAGACATTGTATAATGCTTATGTATTTACCTTTTAACTTCCTGAACTTTAAGTACATTTAATGAAATGCAGTGCAGTAGATTACATATGTAGGAAACACTGAAAGGTACTTTTAAGTGCATCCTCTGTAATATCGTACTGAAGACCACTTTCGATGTTGTACAACTTCTTTGTGCTCCAAGTGTTCTGGAGTATGTCTCTAGCAGCTTTACGCCTGTAAAAAATTATGTTTTTGCTGATTATTTACAAAATAACTTGGTCTCAATCGGATTGGCTATGTAAACATAGATTTTCAAGTTTGGCCACAGATTCTTATTTAGATCTTATTTAGATACTTTGTGCACTTTGAACACATTGAAATGCTAGCTCGGGCTGGCAGTATCTTTAAGGTTGTTGTACTGCTGGAAGGTGAACCTCCAGCCCAGTCTTAAGTCTTTTGTGGCTCCAGTCATCCTCCTAACAGTTCTGATCAGCTTCCCTATCCCCACAGCACTAAGCTGCCACTATCATGTTTTACCATGGTGATGGTGTGGTCAGGGTGAGATCAGCATTACTTTTCTGCCACACATTGCATTTTGCATGCGTGGGAGCTGCTTTATTTTGGTTTTATCTGACCAGAGCATGTTCTTCCACATGTTGGTGTTCTCATTTTATAACTGACTTGTAGCAATATGCTGTAAAACTGCCAGCAGAGCTTTAACTGGGGCACTATGAAGAGCTAAGAAGCACAGCATGTACAAAGAAATCTGAGTGAGTGAGAGTAATGAAGACCAAAAGAGAGGAGGTGAGAAATTTGACTCATCATGAAACTTTGACACATGGTAAGCAGAGGGGGTAAAAAAAACACCACTGTTCCAATCAAAAAAAAAATCCCAGGCCACTTGTATTTTGATCTAGGTTTCCTGCTGGCTTTACCCTGGTGCTGCCAGGTTGTGCCCCTCCTTGCCTCGTGCAAAGGAGGCTATGTTGCATCAAGCGCAAGGAGGGAGTCAGCAGCCATAAATGTGAGTTAAATGGGGACTTTATATATGTATCATATTTATTGTGCAGTAGCAGCATTTTCTTGTGACATAAACTACCTTTATTGCTTTACCCTTTAAGTGTATCTTGGAAGTGTGTACATGCCAAAACCCAGAAATGACCTTTTAAACCAGCTAATTATATAGAAAAAATCCTTCAAAGCCAAAGTTAATTAATGAGCAAAAACAATACTGTTCAGCTTTGGTGCTGTAATAATTTGTACTTGTCCTGCTAAAAAAAAAAAAAAACAGAAACTTCTGAGCTATAACTTTATCTTGGTAGTTTCCACAGCATTCTGCTTTGCATGTGGAAAGTTGACAAATACAAGATTAAAATAATAAATGACCATGTAGAACCCCTTCAAGCATAAAAAATCTTCTAATCTCACTTCAGAAACTACTCTGTAAAAGCCAGAATTCAATTTTGATTAGGATCAAAGTCACCCAAATTTGGCAATGCATAGTAATGCAACTTAGCATTTTCTAGCAAATCCCACCTTGTCAGGCTTCTTTGTAACCGTCTCTGTGGATGCTTTCCTTTTGGTTGCCTGCTTCCCTTTACTGTCTTTGTTCCTGGAGGTTTTCCGAGTTGCTGGACCTTTGAACATCATCTCCATCACCTTTGAACACTTCACCGTCTCACCAATGAAGCCGATGACCTGCTGCATGCTAAGGACCAGCTTCTCCATTCCCTCTAGCTTTTGGGCCTGCTGCTCGGACCGCTGGTTGACTACAGACATGATGGTGCTCATCTCCTTGCAGATCTGCCTCACCTCCCGCCCCATCACCTGGGTCTGGTTCACCACCCTTGGGGAGAAATGGATCTCCTCCTTGTCCACCTTGATTTGCTCCATATCCTGCTCAATATCATCGATTTCTTGTGACATCCCATCCAGTCGACTGAGGACCTTTTCTTGAATGTTGATGAGTTTGTCCATCTTGCCACTCAGGGACTCAATGCGGTTTTGGATTATATCAAAGCCTGCATTACTGGAGTCTCCCATTGGATTTATGACTAAGGAACTCATGGTTTCCTGTGATACAAAAGTTACCTCAAGACACCAACTTGATACAAAAACTGTTTAGGTAAAGTCCATGCAACAAACAAAAATACTTCCACTAAAATCGCTGCCAGTTCTACAGAGAAGAAGAGAAAGCTAGGAGAAGAATTCCAGAAAATATTCCAGGTACAACTCAGCAGGGAAATGCTCAAACGAGATTTTAAATCTTTGAAACTACAAGATAATTTAAGATAATTTAAGCAATCGGAACTATTATGAAGTCAGTCCTCTGGTCTTCTCCTCATGATATGGTATTAAGAATAGATTGAGTTGGGGGGGGGGGCCTAAATGTAAATGGCCGGCCTACGTCAGCAAGCTTCAAATGTTTAGGGAGGGAGCTTGGCAGTGGTTGGGTTATGAGACATCTGAGAGGCTTTAACTGTTAAGCCCACCTCCGTGCACTTGCTTGGTAGGTGTCAAAATGATCACTGTACGCAGTACTTGTTGTGCCGAACAAGTAGGAAAATGCTTAGCGATCAGCCCCCGCTTAGGTGAACTACAGATTCATCATAACGGGCAGACTTTTCTGTAAAGACAGAAATTCTGTGTAATGTTCAACCTGAAAAGCAAGGACATATCTACGGCAGTGATATGCTGTTGTAAATGCTGAGTAGAAGTTACAGGCAATCCTGAAAGGATCTCTGGATTGCCTGTAACATCTTCTCGCTGTCAAGGGAATTGAGAAGAAGCTTGACCTACAGTTGGACATGAAGCCTTCAGGCTGAAAGAAGAGATGGGTGACCACAGATGATTTATGATGTGCTTACTCTCTGACAAAAACATCCTCTGATAACCTCCCGTAGGAGAGTAAAGGATCAATTTTAACTGACCTTGGGTAACATAATCATAATCCATATGTCTTATAGCTCAAATTAAGTTATCTATGATTTATCAACATTATACTAATGTCAGCAGTACAGACAGATATAGACATCTGTTTCTTGACCTCCCCCCCCCCCGCTCCCCTCTCCATCCATCCAGCCCCCTTTTCTTTTTGTGTTCCCACAGACTCATGCTTGAAGACATCGTAATGATTCTGACAACACAAGCACAGACTGTAAACTGGGACAAGATGCCAAACTCAGCTCATGCCAATTACTCACACCCATGTCTTGGCTTGAAGAGGGGTTCAGTGAGGGGGAAAGGAAGGAACCATCTTATGGTAAATTCAGATTTACCATAAAGTACTGCTGTCATTTTTTCTGTGTCTATCAGAAAAAACATTTGGATGTCCAGACAGTTTTAAAAAAAAATCACCACATAACTGTTTTTTTTTTTTTTTTTCTCTAAAATATGCACTTTCTAGTAAGATGGCTTGGAGAGAGAACAGGTTCCTTTGACAAGGCATAAACAGATGGACAGAAAGCAGTCATTAATCACTTTGGAAGAGACATGCTTACACCTGTCTTTTAATGCCAACAGATGACAGACAGCGCAGGTCATTTCCAGCGTGCTATAGTAGGGGATATTTTTTCCCCTACTGTGTCTGATACACACACTTTTTAACAAAACCAATAAGAAATCTTCAAAGTATTTCAAAATATTATTTTAAAAGGGTGAATTTCAATTAATTAGTAAAAGCTTACAATAAACACTTGAATGGCAGCATGCATGTGGTAGATAAATTTAAGATAGTCTAAACCTGCGAGTGACAAATGAAACTTTAAACTCTGAAGCTCATGCTGGAAGCGAACAAAGCCTTGCATCGACCTTTTCGCCACAAAAAACTGGGAGATGAAAAATCTAAACAGTGCATGAGATGATGTTGTTCAGTTGAAGATGAAAGCAAGTCTATTAGATTTAAATCCTAAAATACATACAATTGTCAAAAAAAGCTAATTTAGCATGTATCAAGGTTTAGGTGTATTACATACAGTAATATTTTTTTAACTCAAGAATAGAATTAAGGCACTTAAAGCTACAGTTTAATATTCCCAAAGGAATAGAATTGGGAAACTGTTAATATTTAAACATCTAAGAGGACCACTTCTCCTTTGTTTCCCAGATGACTGAAATTTTTGTGTGTTGCTTAACTTTATTTATATGCATCTGTTTATCATATGTTAGGTAAGTTTTAATTGTGAATGATTTTATAGAAATGTTAATTAGATTCAATCAAAACTGAAATGTAATTTTGAGTCATTTTCATTTCTGGCTTGGTTTAGGATTTGAGGTTTCTTCATAAAAAATGAAACTATGCTATGATTTACATTTTCTATGACATTTTATTCTAGTGGCCTTTTAGTAATTTCATCTGTAATTATTCACTTGAATGCTTCTTTTTTTTTTGCCTTTTACCTCTGTACAGGCCTTTGTAACGTTTAACTGTGTGAAAACGGCTCTGCACATAAAATCTGATCGATTAATGTATCAATTTAAGTAACATTGAAAGAGGAAAACTTACACAAATAAAACACAAATTATAGAGTACACACCACCAGTATATACAAATTGTATTGGTAAAATTTGTTATGATGGTTATATCATGTTGTCTAGTTCTATACAATACAATACAATAAATATTATATACATTTATGTCAGAAGTTAAAGAAAAACCTAAACAAAGTTTATAGCTATTTTTTTTTCTAATTGTGTTGCTGACTGATATATAATTCCCACCACAATTAGAAGCATGCTAGGATATTATTTTCCAAGGCATTCTGCCAACAATATTAATACACTATAAATAAATCCCACTGAGACAGTTTGTACATGAGACTTCACCAAAGAAAAACGGTCATGGATGCTATGCAAAGGTTTCACTTGAGCTCAAACATGTTTTATTTTTATTTGTATTTCTATTACTGAGACTTACATGACCCTTGTGAGGGCACTCGCTTGGCAACTGCACAAGGCCAGCTGTTAAAAATGGAGCACCACCGCCCTGGCAGAGAACACAATGTCCCGGGGAGTTCAGGGGGACATGTGCGGTCTGGTTACTGTCCAGCCACCTCTGCTTATGTCTCCACTCACACTTCTTCCTGCTCCAGATACACTTTCCCTCAGAAACGTCAGGGGCTGAAATGTTTTTGTGGCAGTTATGAAACTCAAGCGCGCTGATCTGAAGTATGAGTGGAGTCCCTGGAGTTCTTTCTCTTTCATCTCTCGTGCTCTCGTGGCCTCTGGCTACAGTGTTGTAGTGAAATATGAAGGGTTACTTTGTACTTTAATCATTCAATAAAGACTTGTCAGACAATACCTTTCCATTAATATGTGTCTAGATTTTGTAAAAAAAAAAAAACAAAAACAAAAAAAAGATAAAGAGAAGAAGCATCAAACAGGGTGAGATAAATTTGTTCAATGACTCGTGTTAAAATACGCTCAGCTTATTTATTGGTTAGTCTGGTAAACTTAATATGGGTAAATTTATTTTTAATTTAATGTGGTTATGCTGAAAATATAAGCTAAATTGGCCTCCCAACCTAATTGTACATGCAAAAAAAAAAAAAAAAAAAAAAAAAAAAAATATTCATTGGTACAATTAAGGAGTCTAAGTATTTTTATCACAGTTACAAAAACGTTCATTTAAAGGATTACTGTCATTCACCTGAGGAATGAATAATATAGCTCTAAAAGTGATATGTAGGAGGAGTTATATGCTGAAGACACCACAAATGGTGTCAAAGTCAGTATGAGAAGGCAAATAAAGCTTAGTTACATAGCTGTGGCTCTTCCACAGTAAACATCATGGGTGGATCTTCTGGATTCCAAGGGAGGAATGGAAAAAGAGAGGGTGAGAGGGTTTCATTTAGCCTCCAAGGTAAACCATTCCAGTATTACAGAAAACTACACAGCATGTGTATTTATAATCAGGCTTGGGTGCATGACAGCTTATATTTGCGTACTCCCAGGAAGACCTATTTCAAATTTATTGGTGTTTCCAACTTTTTGGAAACACCAGTAAATTTGAAATAGGTCTTCCTATGGCTTCCTTGGCTGGTCACATATTATCAACAACAAAAAAATAAATAAATCAAACATAATAAATAAAATAGTTTAAATAATATCAGGAGCTGCTGAAATCAAAAGCAAATGTCTGCAAGAAAATCATCTGTTTCGGATCTGTTCGTAACTGATTTTAAAGAAAACGTTGAATTACAACACCCACTAGATGGCAGCAAAAACAGCTTCACTAGTGTCTGAAAAGACCCAGAGAGCTTGTTACGCATTTCAAAATTACAGTGAAACTACCACAACTCACAGCCAATATTGCTACTATGTAATACTATCCAATTAGCTAATGTTTTATCTTTTCAAGCAAAAAACAATAATATCCCATTGCTGAAACAATAATCCATCATGTGTTTTTCAAACTAATTCAAATAATTATGATATTTAGATGTTACAAGAGATGCCAAAGTTTTTTGAAATAAACAGAGACTGGGATAAATTGTCAGCATCCCACATAATGCAATATTTGTTCACTCTACCTTGCAAGTGTTATCCAAATCTATGACATAATGAATCACTGGGAAAATCTGAAAATAATCCCTCTTGACCTTCAGCTTTCAATAAGTATGTTGTACGTTGTATTAAAATTTTGATGCTTGCGTTAACAATGTGGATACGAGTCGTGTTTAATAAATTAGAATATCTGTTCGGATTCTTGTTTCTATGATCAAAAGTACCTTGTAAAAAAAATAAACCTTTAAATTGGTATTAAACAGGCTTTTTTAAAACAAAATTTCTGTATTAACAACATTTTTCTTCTTGGTCTGATGTAATATTCTAATATAATGCAAGATTGTATTTGCTGTAAGCTAAAACACCATAATTAAACAGAAATTAAGGTTTGGAAACATCTGTAGGTTAAATATGAGTTGGTGTAAGGATGTTCACTTGCTGAACTGAGTTTCTGAAATAAATTTACTTTTCAAGAGTATTGTAATTTATTGAATGCAACTATGTGATATAATTCCAGTTAGGAAACAATACTTTTTAATGCATTGAAACAAAATGCATTAAAATAGAAGACCAACACATTTGAATCTCTAATATTTTACAAATGTTTGTAGAACATTTTTGATAGAAATAATATACTTTGCTTGACATTTTGCTTAAATTCTGAGAAGCCGAGAACACATCTGAGTAAAATATTCAGTTCTTATCTGCAGCTCCACAACAATATTTGTTATATTTAAGCCTTCATGAAATTATTGATGCAAACAATAGTATGAGACATATTGAGAGACATTGCCGCAATTATTAAAACAGTCTAATAAATTTGAACCAACTGCATTAATTTAAAAAAGTGGAAAAGTATATTTTTTAAATGTGAGAGTAATTTAATTAATAGGCAGTTAAGACTGCTGGCTAAAACAAAAATATGTCTACGAAATAATAAAATAAAAATAAATTCTTATATTCTTAACATCTCATATTTATAGGAGTCCATTGTGCATAAACACTGATAACACACTTAATTCACAGAGAAAAAAAAAAAGTTAAATGTTGTTAACACTGACAGCACTCATGCTTGGTTAATATCCTAGTTACAAATGACGAGAAAAAAATATGTTAAACTTTTTTTTTTTTTTTTTTTTTTTTTTTGTTTGTTTTTTTTTCATGTGTCAAAGTGAACTGTAAGTACCTGGTTGGCAAATGCTGTGTGCCTCCTCCTGTAGCAGAGTAAATCGCGCAGTTTGCCCCAGAGGTAGGAAATAACCAGACACATGCCGTTGACTAGCCAAATGTTTCCCACTGAGACCAAGTTCTCCATGACTTTCAGTCTACCTCTCATCCTATCTCTAGCCTTCCTTTACCTTCTATCTTTATCTATGAGGGTCCCTTGGAGTTTCAGCAGAGGAGCCTCAAGAGCAGCAGATGTCAGTACCTCCTCAGAGTAAGGAACACCCGGATTATCCTCCACAGCCTCTGTTAATTCAGTCAACTTGACTCTTTGTAGGAAAAGGACGGTCAGCATGTCCTTGTTATAAAAGAGTGACAGGTGCCAGCAAAGAGTGTCAGAGACACAAGCTGTTTCACCATCCTCAGTTCACGTTAGCCTGTAACTGTTACGTTCTACATGCAAACAGACACTTTGTGAACTGAAATACTTAATTTAACACTGTATGAAAAATCAAAAGAACTTCTGTTCTTGTCTTCCTGTCAGCAAAGGCAGTTGAAGATCCCTGTAAATAATCAGCTTGCACTATTTCAATACTACTGCAAATGTTAAACTGGCCATCACAATGTGCCGGCTAAAGCCTCAAACCTCAAAGAGTTTCAGTCCCCACCCGAGGTCCTGGCCCACAGACCACCAATCTCCCTGCCCTCTCCTACATACACATCTCCACCAGACTAACACCAGCAGCAGCTAGCAAACACTTGGTGGAACTGTGCTTCGGCTGAGCTTATCATACTGGCATCAATGGGAGGCATGGAGAAACATTGTTATGATGTCACCGTGAAGGGGAACATCGGAAGTTATTTTTGTTATAGCAAAAACGAATTTTTATAACAACTGAAGATAACGTATTAGCTGATTGTGCTATAAAACAGCATCATGCACCTGGAAAATACATAATACCTCACCTAAGCGTTTTTGATTGTTATAACTGAGAAGGATCAGAGGCTAAATGTTCCAGCTTTTTATTTAGAAGACTAAATATTGAAATACTAGATCATATTTTAAGAAGTGATACTTGGAATAAAGATGTGAAGCAACAATGCCATAAGTTTTCATGCAATCTAATATGTTGCCATGTAAATTTTACTTGTACATAGATTATACTAAAGTGGTCTTTTTTCAAGACCTTAAAATGCCACATGTAGCTTTTAAAGATCAATTAAAAAATCTTCCTCAGGCTTCCAAGATGGAGATCTACAAATCAAATGTATAGAGTAATGTCCCAACTATTCATGCCTTTAATGATGAACTGCATGTTTCATTAATGTGCATTTTGAATTTGTCAAGAAAGTCAATAAGCGCTATGGCAGTTATAACATATGGTGAACTAAGATAAACATCAAGCTTGTGTGAACACTGGAACAAGTGTGATTTTGTGATTGTTTTTTCTGCTTGAAGACCAAGGCTTATTTTTATATGGACAAATTTTGTTTTAAATGAAGGTATAATATAATGTAATATAATACATTATATATAATATAATATAATATAATATGAAGGAAACTAAATTAAAAAAATAAATTAAATAAAGCAGATTTCTTATTCGTCATTCACTACAGACAGTATCTTGCTTATATTATATTTGAGTTTATAGGGTGCGCACCATTTGTCACCCGGTTTAAGTTAAGCGCGGTTAATTTACGACCCCGGTCTCTTCTCACGCCGTTTCGTCATCATCCCTACGTACCCACTTGTTTTGGTCACGTGCACTACAATTCGCGGGAACCAACATGGCGGACGAGACAATTTCGAACTCAGTTCAGTGTCCTGTTTGTTTCAAAGACTTCACACCTGGGACAATTAACGGACACCTGGACACATGTTTACTGAGCAGCGCTGCTGACAGTCCGTCCACCGCCGTTGAGACTGGCCCTCCAGTGAAGAAAGTGCGCGTTTCGGAGCCTGTCAACGACTCTGTTTCATCCTCCTCCTCCGCCATGCCTGGGACGCAGTCCTCTTCGTCAGTGTTTTCTCTGTTTCAAGCCAACAAGGGCAAACTTGACGTTCAGCCTGACATAAGTTCTGTGTTTTCAGGCAAACGAAGTCCCGTCAGTGCTTTCAGCAAGGGAACTAAACGTGTACTGACCGAGCCTGTGTCGGTACCAACAGGGATAGAGACTCCATCTGTGTCAAACAGCGAAGCTGAGAAGAACATTAATAATCACTTGCCAGCACGGACCCTGTTATCATCAAACAAACCTCTGGCGGACGCTCTGAGACCGAACACGCTGGAGGATTACTTTGGCCAGAACAAAGTTGTAGGCCAGCAAACTCTCATCCGGTCGCTTCTGGAATCTCAGGAGATCCCTTCTCTTATTCTCTGGGGTCCACCGGGATGTGGAAAGGTGTGCAGATGATAGCGATAGGATACATTCAAACTAGTGCAACACCCAGTCTCTCATACAAATATTTAATCTGTCACTTTCATCTTGTTGAAAGTATATCACTGCCTTGGGGGGGGCGGGAGGAGGAAAATCCCATCTTCACTCCATTTGGTAGTTATTAAAGCTGACACACATCTCTATCCCTTGGGATGGAACTGTTCAATCAACAAATCAATCAAACCGATTTGTTTAATTGCACAACTATATCAATGCGCAATATCTCAATGTTTTCCTAATATAGTGCATCTCTAATAACGACAAAGCAACTACTACTTTTCTCTAACACCGGCAATAAAAGATAAATTATATATCTTGCATTCTAATTGATAAGCTTCGCCTATTGTTATTCTAAATATATGTGAGTAGGCTTAAATTCGATACCAATTCTCTAAGAGTGTCTCTGTTTACATTTTCAATTAACTTTCCTTTGGAAAAGAAATCACAAATTTATTTTTAAAAATGTAATTAAATATATAGGTTTTGCAAATGATAAAATTGTGAATAAATGCTCTTCCAATAAACATCTCGGTTTCATTTGATGTTTCCAGATTTGTCTTGTCATGTGTTTTTTCTTGACTTACTTTACTTAATTTTTCTTTTTTTTTTCTTCAGACGACCCTAGCCCACATCATTGCCAGCATGAGCAAAAAGAAAGGATCGGCTCGTTTTGTTACGCTGTCGGCCACCAGTGCGTCCACCAACGACGTCCGAGAGGTGATCAAGCAGGCGCAGAATGAGCTCAGGCTGTGCAAGAGAAAGACAATCCTGTTCATTGATGAAATTCACCGCTTCAACAAATCCCAGCAGGTAGAATAACTACAACAAAGTAGTTTTAGTTTCATAGATTCTTCACAAACGATATGGGTCCAAACAATGAGCCCTGTGGGACTCCACATTAAATCTATTTGCTCTCTGATATTTTATTCAATGGTTCGACTTTCTAAAAACTGCTCTGCCACTTACAAACTGATGATTATCACTTAAGCCGGTATTTTGAAAGGAATATATGGTTCCTGCTCCGTTTTTGTGTCTGACATAAGTGACAACACAAGAGTTGGTGCTGTTGATCATGTCTTGTAAGTTTTTGTTTGATATTAGAAATTTTAAAAGGCTAAATATAGCTCTTCAGTCACTTCATTTATTTTATTTGTTTTATCTGTTGATCCACACTTATAAATCAGGTGCTAGACTACTTCGGGATTCATATTTTCATCTCTGTTAACTTCTTCTTTCTCGCCTTTTGTCTATATGACCAGGACACCTTCCTGCCTCACGTGGAGTGCGGTACCGTCACTCTGATCGGAGCAACCACGGAGAATCCATCCTTCCAGGTGAACGCTGCTTTGCTGAGTAGATGCAGGGTGCTGGTACTGGAGAAGCTGTCAGTCGAGGCAATGGGCTCAATTTTGAACAGGGCAGTGGCCGCACTTGGGATCCAAGTCCAAGGACAACATCCAACAAATTCCTCTTATCGAGAGCAGACCGATAGCTCTGAGTAAGTGCTATCTTACGGTCACTGTTGATTTAGATCAGTTTTTGTCTCTTTTATTTATTTATTTTTTTTCTATATTATTCCAAAAGATTTAATATTTTTAAATATTTTTAGAAAACACACAAGTTGTTGTGATATTTCAAGGTATCTTTCGAGAGGGATTTTCCCTTTGCATATTTTCTGTATTCTTGTTTTAGACCTGCTATATACATAGAGCAGAAGGCCTTGGACACCATAGCCTACCTCTGTGATGGTGACGCAAGAACTGGACTCAATAGTCTCCAGCTGGCTGTTCAAGCTCAGATGAAATCCCCACGACTGAACCAGTCAACACAACACGGATTTCCTCAAGAGATCGTGGTGACGGAGGAGCATATCAAGGAGGGTCTCCAGAGGTCCCACATCCTCTATGATAAAGCAGGTGAGCTCGTACCTGCTTACCGTTGGTGTCACTGGAGGAAAAAAACGAGGATCTTTGCTCCGAGTATCAAACTTTTTGTTGTTCCTTCTTGCATTTAGTAAGGTCCGCTTTAAATTTTGAGTTTGCAGTTATTAATAACACACCTAGAGCAATTATCTATTTAATTAAGAATGCATATCGATTCCATCACCTTGATAGATGACCATGCAGTTTAGTATTGTAAGTAGTGTTCTGCAGCAATGTTCTGCTCTTTGGCAAAGAAATGTTGCTGACTGTTATGCTATCTTCTTTTGCTTATTTATTACATTTCAGAAAGGTTTTTGCAATTGACCTCAAGTATTTCTACACTTAACCTTCACACATTTTGCCAGTATCTCTAGGATATTATGTTATATTTAATGTTTTATGATAATTGCAAATATTTATTCTCAAACATAAATAACATAAAGTCTGTTGACGTACTGTGAATTTTTGATTTACATTTGAAATTACAATTTAAGAAATCAATAGAGGGTTAATAAATTAGCAATCAATTACAAAAATGTTTAACATTTTATTAGCAGTGAAATGAACTAAGATACTTT